CAAAATTACTGATGTCTGCTAAGCAATATAGACCTTCTGGTTCCAAGTTAACACATTCAGATGTTTGATTATCCTTGTTGGAATTTGAAGACATTGAGTTCTTGATTAAGGTAAGCATATGACAACGAGGCACATTGGGGCAATTTATTACATAACCCATTCGTGTAGAGGTGACTGAGGAGGGAAAGGCCGTTGCAGAGCGTGCCCTGTTTTCTCCAGCTTGGTGCTGGTTCAGTGGAAGATCCTACTCTCCCTATGCGAGGTTCTTCCAATGACCGCCCGGCTTGCACCGTGGCCATATCTCCAGCCCACAGTGGAGGATGAGCTACAATTGAGAGAAAGAGAAATGGATTATAAAGGCACACAGGTATAATACAAATACTGCTGTATGTAAAACAAAATAAAAACACACAAGAGGAATAAATTCAGAGTAAGGGAAACTATTGGTAGAGGTGCATACAGGAAAAGAACAAACACCAAAAAATGGTGTCAGGACCAGACAGGATGCATCATTTATTTTTCACCAACCCCATATATGTTGTTTTACCACCAGAGACAACACTGAGGACTAGATCACAGGTAAGTAGGTTGTGAAAGTATACCAACTTCTGTACACATCAAAAATTGGTTATTGGGAATGCTTACCAGATTTTCCTGTGATATTTTTAGATTGGAGGCTTGTCACTCTTTACCAGCCTCTACATGAAGAATCAGGGAATGGACAGGCCTCTGTCTGAGTCGCGGACATCCATCCATAGAAACAAGCATCAGGGAAAGTGACGCTCTGTTGAGTGACAAAGCCAGCAATGACATAAGTTGAGTTGGTTGGCACAGACCTCAATCCAAAACCAGCCCTGTTTCAGCCGCTCATGTTGGGCTAACCTTTCCTAAGAGCTCGTCCTTGCTGTTAGCCAAACCAGACTGAGGGCAGGTGTTTGTGGATGCTGCGAGATGGAGCCAATCAGGCGGGCAGCAGGAGGAGGACCACGTGTAGAGGAAGCAAACACCCAAACTGTCTCCAGAGTACTCCAAGTGCAGGGCTTGGGGAGATGGACACTGCTTGTCCACTTTGACTTCTTTAAGAGTCAGTGCCACTGTTGAAGCGCACAATTAGCTACATCAAGTCCACTCAATTGCCAGATTTGGTGAATTAAGTCTTCATGGTACATACTGTATACTATTAGTGTTTATTATGTTTTGCTTAGAAACATCGTTTCAGAAAAGTTGAATTAAACACTACAGTTTGTACAGAGCCAATATGATCGAATATGTTTATATTACTCGGTAGGTTGTATGCAAATCTATTTAGTCTGTTAAGTCTGTTATTTCTGTGAAAAACCATGTTTCTACCTCAAAACCATCTGTTTTTTCTGCCTTGTGACATTGCAGGTTTCTGGATACCCTAGTGTGTTTTTAGGCTGATTTTGAATGAATATGTAGAGAGCATTTTTCTCATTGAACAACAGCGATTGCTGTAATATGGTTATATTCCTTTAGGTTGGTTTCATGTCGACTCCCACTCATTTGCCTTGCATGCAGTTTTTATGAGTTTTGGCATACTTTGGTAGTGAGCTTGTGAGGATTTCTTACCTAACATTAAATAACTTTGCTAACTTTGATATCTGACATTCAACTTACTTAGCCTGTTGTCAGCAACTTCAGAGTTATGATACTTTCCCACACAGGATGTGAACTTTTTTATCTATCCTTTGTATATTTTTCATAATGAAAGTGGTAGAGTCTTACACTCAAGATGTATTGGCCAGGATAACAGCAAAACATGTGCGATTATGCACCGGTTTTATCGAAAATAATATTGAGTGTGTTTTTAATCCCTCCTGTGAACCTTTAGCCATAGGTGCCAACTTTACCAGAGGACTGCTCACCACTTTTCAGAGTGTGAGGCTTACCTGGTCTTTTGCACAGAGGGGAAGTAGAGGGGGAGCCGAAGGCCTGCTTATCATGTTGCATCTTATCTTTTTGTACTATCTTGCGGTGGTTGGGGTGAAACCACTCAGCTAAACAAAGTATAACCACACAATCCCAACAAACATACCATTATTTTTGGTGTTTGGTTTCTCACATTAGTACTGCTCCCTGAAGGCTTTGACAACAAGTGGGGACTGTTGCAACCAATTTCTCTTGCTTTTTACCCATCTCTCTCTGAACTCTCGAAGCATCTATAAGGGAGGGAAGGAAAAGGCAAAGTCAAAGATGACGAGACTATAAAGAAATCCTTGAGCTTATAATGTTTGTTAGGATATAATTTTCTTTTCTGGCGTGTTTCCCTGAAACTGTTGAAGTAGAAACACTGGATAAAACAAGAAACTTAAAAGCAAAAGTTAAGAAAGGGAACTTTCCTTAGCTGAGTGGCGACAATTTGGTTGTACAATTGCTTACTTTGGGCATGCCATGAGCTGTTGAGGGGGATTTGTAAACGAGGGGATTTAGCTCCTTAACTGACCACCCCTTTTTAACTCATCAGGTGGTTGGTACCCATGAGTGAGGCAAAATTGCCAAGTCGGCCAGATAGGATGCTGCCCTAGGAAATGAATAAAATTGATATTGGAAGTCGTAACCAAACAATTGTCTTAATGGGTTAGAAAGTTGGCCAAAGAAGCAAATAAAAATCACACACACGAAGGCTGCCCGATAATTAATGAATGTACTCACATCTGTGTGAAAAGGAGAGACAGGCTGATAAACCGTTCAACATTTTCCATCAATGACAAGCCAGTCCTCCTTCATTTTGTGACAGTCTGAGGGTGCACACCGGACACTGCACCTCTCCAGACAGGAGCACAACAATCCACCTACATGTTGAAAAGCACTATCTATTTAACAAATATACATAACCACACTTCTTATACTCACAGACCATATTCTTGCAGCCAGTGGTTGTGAGGAAATTTAACAAGCAGCAACCTGACTCGCATAGATAGCTGTCCTATGTAGTCACTGTTTTTAAGGAAACATTCTAAAGAATTTCAGTATTATGTTTCATTATTAAGTTTTTTAGTCAGCATATTGTTCATACACTTTTCCAGA